TTTTCATCCACAGAATTTAATAAATGAAGGTTATAATGTGTTTTCATCCAAAAATGTAATTATATATATTTTTCTTGAGGGTGCAGTGAAATTATAAAATGTTTTTGCACCATGAGAATTTATGCAGCCACTATGGGTGCTATCTGAAATTATCGCCTCTAAAAAATTGAAGGCCGAGTTGAAAAGGAAGATGGGCTTGGCATGGAAGAAGCCCAATTTGAAGTGAAAGGAGTGGGCTTGGTTGACGGCCCCAAAAGGAATGCTTTAACAGGTCCATTTGTTTTATTTTCGGTCAATTTGTCTATTTTATTTTGTATTTTTGTTTTTCAATAAAGCATGGGGCCAATGTCATTAATTTGTCATTTATTCGAGTCATTAGTTGTTTACTATTGAGTCTAAGGGCTCAAATAGTCAATTGTTTCAGGATAGTTGGAATTTCAAATTTTATTAGATTTCATATTAAGGTTTTAAAGTCTTTCACATGGCTATTTAAAGGCTTATGGAATATTTAATAGCTTCTTTTGATAAACATAATTTTTCTAAAGAGTTTTGAATGAGAAATTTCTTTGGCAAGTTCCCAGAGAGTATTTCTTGTGTATTGCTTGTGTATTATTGCACTATATGGATTATAAAAGCTAAATGTCACCTTAATTCTGGAAATTTTCTCAGTGCAGTTGTTAAGTATGTTCTGCATCAAAGGTCCTGTATATTAGAAGTCACGCCCAGAATCATGAAAAATCTAACGGACAGGCAAATGAAAAATTTTTCTTCTATGAATTAATTGTACAAATCTGCTACTCATGGCAAATTTTGGAAATTAATTTTCCTACATGGAGAAGTCAAAGAGTTTTGAGTAAAAGTTTGAACAACTTTCAAATTAGTTTTCTATATTTAGTTATGAATAAGATTTTAGTTGAAAGTACATTTAATTGATCATTTAATAGAGAGCAAGACATAAAATATATATGCGCACCCAATCATCTACAAAGATTATTTGACTGTAATTGGCATTTATGGAGCCTTCTTTTCATAGAACCTCGCCTACATGGAAATGAATGGGGTTTTACGTGTCACTCATATAGCACACATAGACATATGCTTTTTTGGCTATGTATAGGTATTATTGGAGATAATTCTGTTTGAGATATTATTATACATTAAATGTAGACACTTCTTCCAACTGGTATTTGAACTTTGATTCGCCATGTTATGAGAAAATAGTGTCTTCTACTAAACTCAACCCTTGCTGATTAGACACATAGTTTTGTTAAACTAGAATATTTTATATTTTTGTCTTTGCAGAGAAAAAATCTTCACACTTGGTATATTGTCTTAGTGATAACATTCCCCTTTTAGTATAGGGCTTATTGTTGGTTCAATCCAGACGGCAGGTTGAACCCCATTTCAAATAAAGTAAAAAGCTAAATTATGCTATTACAGATTCTTAATATAAAATTTAGTTGGCTAATTTAAGTAGATTAAGAAAATTACTTAAGTTAGTTATTTGTAATAAATAAGTATAATCATGTGTATTAGCTAAAATTATTATTTGATGAAACTTTTAACATGTACAACTATTACAAGAACTACGTTAAGAAAAAATAGATAAATATAAGAGACAAAGTAGATTGTGATTTTATATACAGGACGAAATTGAATAAAAAACTAGCTCTTATATTAATAACTGGAGGTGGTGTAACATCCCAAACTTTGGGTCTAGAAGTATTAAAATTAGCCTAAAAAGGGCAAGCTACTAGATCCCATTCAGCAGGAGCCCCAGAAACGTGAAATAGAAATAATAGAGTTTTTAGGGACTAAACTGCAAATTGAGGAAGTTTGGGATTAAAATGTGAATAAAATAAAAGACTCTAGTGAAGTCTCAAAGCCCAGGAATGAGAAATAGAGATGAGTGTAGGCCAAAGATTACGTTAAAAGCCTTTATGAGGTGAATTATAGGGTTAAGCCAAGCAAGGGCAAAATCATAGTTTTGTAAAGTTTCAGGCCAAAAAGGGTAGTGATGAAAAATAGGCTTGAATACTTTAGAAAAATTGTAAAAAATTCCAAAAAATGGGAAATGGCATGTTAAGGCCTGTATGTAGAGAAAAATGATGAAAATGCCCTTGGATTGATTTTCAATGAATTTTAAATATTATGGTTCATTTTGAGGTATAAAAATAGATTTAATTATTTGAGCCATAAGAAGGCTTCGGAAACATAAGCAAAAATGTGGATTCATGAGTTAAAAGGCTACAAAAAAATTATAAAATTAGTCTCATCCCTAGACGGCTAGCAGAATGGCTTTAAGAATACTTAAAAGCCAGTTGTGCCGAAAAAAGGGCATTTTACGGGAAATTCAAAAAGAAATACTTATGGATTGAGTTATGATCTGAGGAAATTCATAAATTTTCTGTAGAATTTAAGGAATTTTATGGTATGAATAGATGAATTTTTGGAGTTTTGGATTGAATAAAATGATCTAGTCAAATATTAAATAAATTTTGTCCCCTAAACAGGAGACAAAATCAAAGAAAATATCTAAAGGCAATTATGAAGGTACTGAGTTAGTGTGATGGGTTGCTATGTGCATTCATGACACAATTATGACACCTCTAGGTCAGCATGCTGAGTCATCAGAAGATATTTATGGGTAATAGAAAAATTAGAATGCAGTACGGGTACGTTTTAGACAATCCTTTGTCTACTTTATACAGCGAAATCTCTACTGTGTGATTCAGTAAGGCTAATTATCTTTTCAGTGGAGTTAACTTTGTTCTTCCATTCTCCTATGAGATAGCGTCATATATGGACTTGATTAAGATAAGAAAAGAGTGCTAGAACATATTCCAGTGGTACTATGTAAGTTAGGACCCAAAAAAGTACCCGATACGATACAGAAAGACAAGATAAGTGGAGGAATATCTAGGGACTACATTTTGCACAAATTTCCTATTAACTTCCTCCCTATTTTAATGCCAAAAATGATGAAGGGACATGTAAGCGATTATGTGTACGGTCAGATGGGAAAAAAAGGTCTTACGTGTACAGTTGGATAAGAGACACGTGGCTTGATGATGTAAGTAAGATGACTTAAGAAATCTAGAAGTTAGACACTTGGCTTGATCAAGATGGAAGATAAGAGATAAGGGACAGTTGGCAAAATCATAAGGAAAGATCAAACGATGACTAAGATTTACTCTTGCAATTTCAAGATCAATGGCTAGGATTTGTTCATGAAGTCTATAAATACCCTCCCCTCCGCTTAATTTTGTCTGAGCTCATGGAAACCATGGAAAAGTTCTTGCAAAATGAATTCTAGAGAGAGAAAGAGGAAGGAGAAGAGAAAGCCAAGTGATTCTATGCAAGTTCAAGCTCTAAAACAAGGTATGATTATGGTCTTTGATGTAGTTTTTGCTACTCTTGTTATTGTTGAGCTTAACTTTGGATTTTGTTGAGTTTAAGAGGATGAAAACCTTTTTTAAAATTTCTGTTCAAATCTGTTCTAGTTAGGAAAAGAATGGATTTATGTTAGCTTAATAATCAAGAGGTAGAAACAAGCTTGAATCAAGTGATTTTGTGATGAGTTTGCAAGAAATCCAACTTCCCCTTAACTTTGGGTGACTTTTGGCCAGACTTAGGGTTTAAGATAGGGTTGGATTTGGATTTTGTTTATTTTGAGCTTGGAAATGGATTCTAGATGTAAAATTGTGAGGGAATAGCATGTGAAATTAATTTTAGAAAGGTTGAAAATCAAGCTCAAAAGTTAGAAGTTGATATAGTTCAAAGAAAATAAATTGTTGATGTTGTTGGTTACATGGCTCTAATGAATAAATGACAATAATGAGTTGATACATTTAGACCCATGAGACATCAAGGAAGAGAAATAACAGAAGTTGAACAAGTTACCTCAAAATTGGTAGCAAAAGGGAGCCAAAAGATAAGAGGACACTTAAAGGTTATAAGGTAGTGAATTTACCCTCTTAAATGCTTGACATATATGCTTGGGTGTTGATGATGTTTGATGATGATTTGAAAGCATGAATGCTTAAATGTTGTTCTATGCTTTGGTTAGTTCATGGTCATGTATGTATGCAATATTGAACATATGAATACGTCGTTATTTTTAGAGGTGAAAGTAGGTAAAACCAAAGATGTCATACACTTGCATTTGTTTTGCATGCATTTGGGTAATGTTTACTACTGAGATTCTTTCAAATCTCACCTTCTCTTAACCAAACATAATTGGTTTATGCTCACGAGAAAGCAATGCTTGGAGGGGAACAAAGAAGGAAAGGAAGAAATATGAACTAGTGTATTATATTATGTTATGTAATGATATGCGATTATGAGATTATATGTGCCAATTGGTGATGTGTATTGGAAATAATGTTATTGGCATGTATGATGGACTATAATGATGTATAAGAATGAGTAATACAATGTTGGATTGGTATTGCATATGTATTGAATTTATTTGAATTGTTATTGCAAGTTAAGGGGATAAGATACCCCTAAGTGAGCAGTTAAATTTAGACAGAGTAAATCCTAAGCAAATGAAAGAGTTTTGTTTATGAAATTTGGCGAGTAATTACTACACATCTAGAGCTTTAAAAAAAGTGATAGATCACTTGAATTGGATATGCATACTAGAATATATAGTTGATCAAATTTAGCCCAGAATTTTGGAAATTTTCAATTGACCAAATAAACAATAAACTTTAGATATTAAACTGTACAAATTGGGTAAGGAATTGAGCCAATGATTTTTTTCTCCTTGTATAAAATTAAAATAGCTTCAAATAGAAATTTGAACCACTTCAATACAATTTTTCTAGAATTAGTTATGATTTTTCAAAGTTAGACCTAAAATCTGAAATTTCAAGTGAATGGTAACCCAAGAAGTAACTTTTAAATTTTTAATCTACAGGCTTGCAACATGAGTCACTAGAATTTTAATGTTTCCAAATACGTACTTTAAGGGGTTAAAGGATGGATGTTATAGGTAGTACATAATTTTCTTGAATTTCAGATAGATAATCTCATAATTTTTGAAATTTTACAATGAACCCTCTAAAACTTTTATGTTTATGCGGATAATTCCCATACAATTAATTTAGCCTAAAGAAATAAAAAGAAAAGAAAAGAAAAGGTCCCTTCTCTTTTCACAAATTCTTCAATAAACGTAGGTATGAACAACTTAATTGATTCATTCTATAATTTGTCAAAACCTTAGATATCAGTTCCTCATCACGATGGAATATAATCTTGAGGTTTGATGGGCCTAATCACTCTCTATCTCTCCCTTCATCAAAACACTGTCATTGTAGAGGAGATATGTCTTCTATAATAAGATTGGTTTTGTCACCTTGGCATTATGTGAGACACTGTTACCTTATTAATGGAAGGATCTTTGGAATTTTTTGAGGTAGATGAATCTTCATGGCTTATTCCTCCAATTGAAAATGCAGGATGATTAGGCTTGGGAAAGGTCATTGTGTCACTTGCGAGCATGACTAGAACAGTGGACATGGTTGGTCTATCTTTTGCATCTTCTTGGACACAAAGTAAACCGATGTGTATGCACTTCAAAACTTCACTTTCTATGTATGAATCTTTCAGCATTGGATCCATGAGTTCCAAACATTTTCCATCACACCATAGACTCCATGTCTGCAAGCAATTGCAAATTCTTTGGGATTACGAAACCATATTAAACTTCAATTTTCATATATCTTAGGAGAAATATTTCATCATAGATAATAGCAGAATCTCCCATTCTAAATTTAGCTTTTTTCTTCAAAAATAAAACAAATCAATTAAGACCAAGAAAAACTACAGAACATGCAAAAAAAAAAAATTGTTAGCTTTCATCCCCAAAAGAACTTACATAAATTAGAAGACTTTGCTGATGTTCAGAGAAATGGAAAGATCTAACCCTTTTTCCACATATGATTTCAAGAAGAAGAACTCCAAAGCTAAAAACATCTGATTTCACTGAAAATAATCCTTCCATAGCATATTCTGGAGCCATATATCCACTATTGAGAATCATATCATCAAAAGAAAAAAATTCAGTTATCCATATAGTAATTTTGTAGAAACTTCAAATACTAAGCTTCAAGTAAGGAAACAAGATGAGAAGTAAATGACCCTTACTAAGTGCCCATTATTCTGCCGGTGTTTATTCCTTGACTTGGTGCTCCTTCAAAAGTTCTTGCTAATCCAAAATCTGATATTTTAGGATTCATCTCATAGTCCAAAAGGACATTGCTAGCTTTCAAATCTCTGTGAATTACTCTAAGTCGAGAGTCTTCGTGGAGATATGAAAGTCCTCTTGCAATTCCATTAATAATATTTAGCCTTTGCTTCCAACCTAATTTTTTTCTGTTCTCTTCATCTAACAATAATTGTTCAAGAAAAAATTATTGACAACATCATATGAGGTGAAAAGTAAGATTTTGTTGTTCATTAGGAAACTTTCCTAGTAATGTAATCGCATAAGTACTCTCCCTCCATGCTTTTTTATAGCAAAACAAATAATAAATAATTCATCCAGAGACAGATTATCCTTAAAACAAAATACTTCGAGGCCCAAGAAATAGTTTGGAGTGCCAAGATCCTTCCTTTCAACTAAAAAAGGAAGAAATTTTTTTTTTATCATCTTCATACTGATCGACTTAAAAAGTAGTCACATCAAAATTAGAGGGGCAGCCAAGATGACTTCTTAATTCTTATAGAACTAGATTTTCCAAGGCCAAGCTTGAGGGACATGTTCAAGACTTCTAAGAGAAAATGATGGAGATGGCATAGTTTATTCATAAATTCAGCAATGCCCAAGAGGACGCAGACATTTATCTCCTCTTCAAAATCATACTGATAATTATAATGTAAATTTGACAACCATATCATAAAAGTCACGTAAGTTATCCTATAGCTACACCCAAGCTAAGAAAACTTAATTTGTACTAACGAGGAGGTGATGTAAGGAATAAATTGGGTTGTTAGTGACACTGAACACTCTCGTATATGGAGTATCATTGAAAACTCTTTAATAATTGTTTTGGTTCTAAATATAAGATCCCAATCAGCTTAGTTTTCCAAATTCATAATTTGACCTCTAAATTATCCTTATTAATTACATTTATTAAGGTGGTTCTCATCAGGGTGTAATATGCAATTCAAAATAATTAAAGTGATATTTTCAAAAACCAACTTACATTTCTTATACATAACTAACTTAACTGTTTTTTTAATCTTTGCATATTAATTTTCTAACTTAAGACTAGAGGAGTATAAAACAAGACATATATGTTAAATACTCTCAGGTGTGTGTGTGTGTACACACACACTCTGCCAAAGTCTAATCAGTTTTTGAAATTACACTTGGACTCATAACAGCAGTACAGAAACCAAAAAAGAACAATAAGACAAAAGAGCTCAACATTAATTTTTGAGCCATATAAAGAAACAAGGGGAAAACCAAATAGATAGAGATGGATTTTAGAAAACATACCAAAAAGCTGGAAATCAAGGCTAGAATTAGGCAGATACTCATATATAAGTAGCTTTTCATTTTCCTCTATACAATAAGCCAAGAGTCTGACAAGATTTCTATGTTGCAATTTTGCTATGAATATCACTTCATTTTTGAACTCTTCTGAGCCTTGACCTGAACTTTGTGAAAGTCTTTTCACAGCAATTTCCCTCCCATCTGGCAATGTCCCCTGGTGAAAATGTTGATAGAAATTGTAGAAGCATTGACACATAGGGCAAAGACAAACATAACTCATGTATAACATGCATATTGATTAAATTAGATTCATATGAATATTCATGCTGCCAAATTAACAAAATTGGTTATCTCAATATTATAGCTTTAAAATATAAGGCTAATAATGAGGGCCAAAATGTTTTATAATGTTACCAACTTATAAAATATAAATGTAAAATCAAATACAACTTTAGGAATAGACAAATAATCTAGGGTTAAGTTGCAATTTTAACAATAAAGTTTTTCGCCAAGAGCATCTAACACCATTAAGTTTTGAAGGGTGCAAAATTATACACAATTTTTAAAAAACAGGGCAATTTTACCACTCCGTTAACTGTGTCAAATGTTCATCACCTTTTAGTTCATTAGGTCCCATATTTGTATACATTTCCTTTGCTTTTCCCTTCCCTTTTCCTTTGTCTCTCCCTTGTCTCTCTCCACCTTTCTCTCTCTCTCTTTCTTCCCTCACCTGACATACGAACGCTTCTTATTCTCCATCTTTCTCTCTCTTGTCTCTACCTCATTTAAACGTTGGTCTCCCTTCCAACTTTCTTATCACAACTTTCTTATTGAATAACAACAAGAGCTAGGCAGTCAAAACAAATCTCAACCATAAACAATTTTTAATGGCCTTGCTCACACCAAATACAAAATAGAGGACTCTCTTTCATAGAAGAAATTTCTTTCAATAAAGAACACAATTTAGGTCCTTTTCAACTCACCTGGCACGTCCTCTACAACTCGGTGCTTGATGAACAAAGCTAATTAATTCAAGAATTATGGCAATCCAAGCAGATTAATTCCAAACAATTGGAGGCCTAACCATCTTTCTAAAAACTATCCTATGATCAGTCGTTCCAACTACATCAACCAAGCTTATTACCTTGACTTTTCTCCCTTGTCTCGTCAAACAAGCTCAACAGAATGTGGATGGTCGCCTCCCAACTTGTCGAACCACATAGCATCTTGTTTCCTTGCATTGCCTCCTCTATTCGCAAAGTCAATGGCCTTCAGTGTTGATGCCTCTATCTCTTTTTCAGATGCATCAAATACAATAGTGCACCCTCTCTCCCCTCAAGCTTCGAGAACAGTCATTTAGTTCTTGAATTCTAAGTTGCCATTACTAGAGGAAGAGGAGGCAAACTTGCAAAGGGGGAAGAGAGAGAGAATTGAGTCTAATGTTTTCTCTTCGAGGGGTTGACATAAAGAGAAGGAGGAGGAGAGATAAAATTTAAGAGGGTGATGTGTCATGCTTTTAGTGGAAGGATTATGCCAAGCCAAACACCTAGTGGGACCCACCTTAGAAAAAAACAACCGTCTAGACATGTTAACAGAAGTGATCAAATTGCTTTGTATTTTAAAGTTTGTATATAATTTTGCACCCTTCAAAACTTAATGGTGCCAGATGCTCTTAGCGAAAAACATCATTGTTAAAATTGCACCTTAACCCAATAATCTAACATCTTCAATATCACAACTTACAAATCCAATGTATCATTGGTACCTTATAAACGGGACCAAATCCACCTTCTCCCAATTTAGATGCTTCTGAAAATTGATGGGTACTCCGTTGAATCACAGGTAAAGGGATTGTGGGAAGGTCTGTGTTCAATGAAGTCTCTCTTTCAGATAGATTGTAAAAGATTGGAGTGCTCTCCAACGGCATATCATCTACAAGACAAAGCATATGATGAAGTTTTGTTTTGATAATATTTAACAACCTCCGATCCAAAATATATATATATATATATATATATTCATAGATCATATAATATATATACTCGCATAACAATTTTCAATATATAGTTATTATATCCGCAACGATTGAATAAGAAAATAAGTGTTTATATAAGAAGTCATTCAATCCTCTAATATGGTACTTATGGCATTAACTATCACCACTGCTTATCCCATAAAAGAGCGCAAAAAAAAGAAGAAGATATATGCTGGGTGCTGCTTCATGGATATACTTTCAATATATTTGAACACCTTACCCCATAAATTAATTATTCCTAGCTAGGAAGATAAGTGTTTCAAAGACAAAAAGATAAGAAAGAAATAAAGTCATCATTCTTTTTGCGTTTTCTTTTCTTTTTTGAGTTTTAAATTATTTCCTTGGATAATTTTTCTTTTGGAGGAATTTGATTATTTCTCTCAATATTACCGATAGGAAATTTCTTGAATATAATTGAGAGAAAAATATGAAGTTTTTCTATTTTATTTTCAAGAGAAATTTTCTCTAAGAGAAAGCCGAGAAGAAGGTTCAAAATTTTCAGTGTTGAGAGGAGTGTTTCATTTCTTCTGTAAGAATCTGTGAGAATAGTAACAGAACAAAGAAAGATGATCTTACCTCTTTTTAATTCTTTTGGCACTCAAATATCTAAGTGCTTATCTGGTGAGAAAAATAGTAATAAAATTTAATTTTCTTACATTTTCACATTATCTAATTTCTTCTAAACTCTGGATCAAATGTTATGTGTTACGTTCATAGGCAACGAATCAAATGAAAGTAACCATAAAGATATATCCAATATAATTAAACTAGAAATTCACACAACTGCACTGAAATTTGAATGCATATAAAATGTCCTAATTAATTAAATACCTTTTCTAGAAGTCCTCGTCCGCCAGAAGATGAAGATAGAGAAGCTTAATATAGCTATGGCCACTGATAGACTTACGCTTATGATAATGACTTTTGACTTGCTATCACCGTCATGGGCTGCACCGACAAATCAACGCATATGTTAATGTTGATCTGATATGCACATCAAAGCATATATAAAGTTCTTCTAGAGTTGGGTAGAAGTGAAAGCTACCGAAAAAATTATTGAAAGATGAAGTTTTAACTATATGCCAATTAAAATATATAACTTTACTTTCACATAACAAGATTACAAAAATTATTAGAAAAAAATATATCTTATACGGTGTATATACATATGGGGTTAATGTGCAAATTTGTTTCAGAAAATAAATTCCACTCAAGAGTACTGGGCTCCTAAAAGTTTTTTTTGGATACAAATTTACCCCATCAGTGTACAATCATAGTAATTTTGCCTTATACCGTTAAAAATGTTAATAATCAATGTTACTATTTGAATGTTCAACATTAGTTTTTAAATGAGAGGAGGCAAAATCGCTACAATTTCAAACTTTTGGGGCTAATTTGCACCCAAAAAAGAACTTTTAAGTACTCAGCACTTCTAATTAAAAACTTTGAGGAAAATTTACACTTTGACTATATGTAAAAATTATAAAAGAAGCAGCAGAAGTTTTAGAATAAAAATATATCGAATCTGCGACAGAAAACATTGTTAGTAGAATCTACTCCACTTAATTTTAGAGAATTTTAGGGATGATTAATTTTACAAACTAGTAGTATTAATAAATTGCGTGTGTGGCTGCGGGTACACATGTGAGATTTACAAGGATCAGTCATTTAATACTGCGCTTCTTTAAAGATTTGTATGAAATTGAGACCACTCATTCTCACCAACTCGTTGGACTTATCTCCACCTGCTCACTGTTACTGGACCAAAGTTAAAATTATCAACATGACGTTTCAAACTTCCTCTCTGTCTGTCGTGTAAAAAGGGGGTAGTTGGATTCATATCCGTGTCTTTTTCAGTCATTGTTTCTTCACAGACAAGCAAGAATGCGTAAGGATATGGAGATTATTTTTAAAAATAAATTTCTGATAGAGTTCAAAAAGATAGCAGCACAAGGAAGAGTAGAAATGAATAATTGCAAAATTTCTTGGTTTTTTTAATAACCATTTCTTTTAAACTGTAAAGCAAATCTGCAAACAATTCCTCTTCAAGAATCAAAATTAATTCCAACATCATAAGTTAAATAACTAATTTATATAAATTAAGAGAATTAATTAAATTAATTATTTGAAAAGAATATGCGCTGGTTTTCTTAAAATACCGCATTTAATCATTTACATTGAAAATTATCCCTATTAATGACAATCCTTTAACATTTGCAATCAACATGCATAGTTTGAAAAAAAAATTTGCAAATTTAAGAAACAAAAAATAAAAATTTGCAAATTTGAAAAACAAAGTATATTAAATTTTTATATCTGGGATTAAACCAAATTCCTAAACTATCTCCAACATTTAAGCTGGGAAAAAGTAATTAATATGATTTTTTTTTGTTCATCATTCACGTACTATTCATAATAAATGACTGAATTTTATGTAGAGTGAAATTTTAAAGGAGATAAGTTTGTTCTTGTTATACCTGTGGGAGAATTAGGATTTGGAGAAGAGGATGCCTGATAGAACATGTAATCATCGTACTTAATTAGACAACTTGGAGCCAAAACCTGCCATCCTAGCTTCTGCTCACAACACTGGGCAACCTTGTCCACCATAGCCTCCAAACATCGTCTACAACCTTGTGTATTAAGGTCTCTACTACACTGAACCAATGCATACCTTTTTTTCCCACCACCCAAATCAAACTCTCCCCTGGAGCCCAACTCCGTCGTGTTCTCCATCGCCTTTACGATTAGACCCCTCATGAAACTCTCCGCCTTCTTCCCCTCCGTCAGATCTGATACCGTCTTTGATCCGGCAGCATACCACCACGGGCTTGTTGTCACGTTCCCAAAGAAGTTCTTGTTAGAGTACCGGAGGATGCAGAAGTCATACCTATATATATTGTTAAAGAAGAAAAGAAGATTCATTCAGTATAATTTCTGAGTTTTGAATACAAAATACAAACTTGTGAAATGATCACCGTTTTTTGTTCTATATATATATATTGATTTCGTTATGATTTTGAGTTAATAAAAGATAATTTCAAATCCCTGAAACATTCCAAGTATATAGAGCAATGAACTTAAAACAAACATTAGTATGATTCATAGATTGCCAGATCAGTACCATATCACGGCGGAAGATTGACTGGGGCAACGTTGAAGAACCTCTCTAGTGGCAGTGGAGACACAGAACTGGCAGAAGTATCCGGCGTCATCACCGCGACAGTCATAGAGGCCGTAGACGGCATTGGTGGCGGTGCCGATGGAGGTATGGTTGTAGCCTTTGCTTGTGGCTGCGTCAGTGGAGAGCCATGAGAGGAGCTGGTTAAGGTTGGCTTTGTAGGACGCTGTAAGGACTTGTTGAGATCTGTTATGGCAGTCATCTCCAACGAAGGTTGGTCCCTGAGAAGTACTTATTCTGATGAAACTGATGATCAGAACAATTATGAAGAAGATGATGAGAAATTCGGGAACTCTAATAATTGGTTTTGATGATGATCCCATCATTCAATCATAGAGGCTATTTCAATTTTGGACTGCGTAGGAATACAAATAGGTAGTGAATAAATTGGTGACGAATTGTTCAAAAATAGGTAGAGATAATTATCATTACAAAGGTTTGGCTTATATTCGCGTATATGTTAGGTTATGTTTGATATACTAGAATCAATTTGACGAGAATGAAAAGGAGAGAATAAAAACTACCTCTATTTCTTAATATAAGAACTAGTCGACTAATTTGAATAGATTAAAAAATTTTTTTAAGTTAATTACTTGTAATAAATATGTGTTATCTTTCTTAATATACCCTTGTTAATTATATATATTAATTAGAACTATTATTTAATAAAATCTTTAATATGTACAACTACTACAAAGAATACCTTAAAAAAATAGATAAATATAAAAGATAAAGTGGATTAGAATCTTATATTTAAGATCAAGTTAAAAGTTAAACTAGCTCTTGTACTAAATATCAAAGGTATTAGTAATCAAAATGTTACTAGAAAACAATGTTTCGGTCCCCCAAAAAAAGGATAATATCAGGGGGAATGATATTTAAGCCAAAAGTTCTATTTAGTAATAGTTATTATGTCTAAAAAAAATTGACGAATTTTGCAAATATTATTCATGTTCAAATAGCTAGTTGTGCCTTATTCAAGATTTTGGGCTTAAAAGATCAAGATTAAACACAAATTAAGTAGGCTATCAAGTGCAATTGAGCAAACGTCTCAGAAGTGCCCTAAATAGAGATAGAATGGTTCTTGCCAAGGACTAAATTAAAGTGCAAATTAAAATTTTTTTTTTGAGACTAGAGTGTAAATAATTTAGAGACTCTTGGATAATTCTAAGGGCTAAAATGAAATCTAAGCGTAGAGAAAGAAAGGTCCAAGTTAGAGAAAGGGGGGAAGAATAAATGTTCCGGGACAAAATTGTAAATAAACAAAAGCAGCCAGAATGAAAAGGTGATCTAGAAAATCTTTTAAACTAGAAAAGGCTTATACGGCATTTTAAAACCCCCAGAGGCAGGGGTCAAAAATTTAATTTTCCCAAAAATTTTTAATACATTAAGTATAATTATGAAAACTTTATCCCAAAAAAATCAGGAAAGTTACAAAAAATTAAAGAAAAATAAGAAAAATATTGCTAAGTGATATTCAAGACTTATTTGAAGTATTAAAGAAAGAAAATACTTAAATAAAAATTATTTGATCACAAGTTTAATTAGGCCTTTTTTTTTGGGTAAAAGAAGAGGGCTAAAACCCAAAATTAAAAAAGAAACGGTAATAGATCGCAGACTATCTTTACTACACAGGTTCTTAAATGAGCTGGGCTATCCTAGAAAATTGCTGACTGAGATAAGCCTTCTTTAGCTAGTTGACCTGCTAAACTGTAATGCTCGCCGGGAATGAAGGCAAGGGTAATACAATGTCCCAATCATAGCCCATCATCTAGCATTTGAGAAAAGATGAGACTACACGTGTCACTGGCCTTCCTTTGTGGAACCGGATCCGCTCGTACTTTTGAATCAGATTCCATAATGATTTTCTTCAAACGAAGTTCCCAAGCAAGCTTGATCCCCTTATAAAGAGTCCATTCCTCTGATTCAAAGACGCTGCATCTTCCAAGTAACTAGGTAAAACCAGTGATCCATGAGCCTTGATGATCTCTTATAACTTCCCACCGCTTCCTTTATTTGTCGTGGAAGAGATTGCCCCATCAACATCGACTTCAAAAGCATTCCCAGGGGGGTGGTTGCCAGTTATAAATAGCTCTCCCACTTGTTGATTCTGACTTAAAGCGTCATATTTAAAAGCAACAGAATTCCAGCACATCATGATTGTTGCAGCTGGCTCCTGAGACTTTTGGAAACCATCGTTGAATTGCAGATTATTCCTCCGGGATCACAGTTTCCAAACAGTTACACCCCACACCAAATTCCATTGGCAGTTTAAATTCCTCCCCTCAGGCCTAAAAGTTAAGATAGTTTGGTTGAGTAAATTGTTGCCTAAAGCCCAACTAAATTAATAGCATAATAATAGCTAAATAAGGCCCAAATGATGCCGTTCACATGAAAGGAAGAGAAAGGAAAATTACCATAATTAAATATTAAAGTATTTACTGTTAAAGAATTAATTACGGTAATTTGAAAACTTATCATTGTAAAAGGAGATTAACTGTGATAAAATAATAGGTTAAGGATAAAAAATACCAATGAACTCATATCAAAGTTCACCAAACACCATATATATTTTTGTTGGGTGCCAATTTATCCAGGCAAGTGTTTGCATCTCAAGTGCATAGGTCATGACAAGTATAATAAAATTATAAGTATCATTCTCATGAAAATTTGATTACAAAACTCAGTCAAGTATTGATTATCATACTTTTGCCTAATTTGAGTTACACAAATATATCAAGAGTGAAAAGATCCTATTTATAAAATTAGAAATGGGTTCTAGGATTATTAATGGTTAAGGGTAAAAAATACTCATGAAAATATACAAAAAGTTCGCTCAACACTGTAAATTTTTTTTGGGCTCAAATCTATCAATCCAACTTTAAAAAGAGGCCAATAATGTTAGCAATGTTAAAATATACAAATGTCCATTACTTTTGTAGTGGGACTCACAATATTTTTAATGAAAGTATCAAAATATCCCCAACTGGGATTAAAAAAAAACCTTTAGGATAAAAAAAAATACTCATGAACTTATACCAAAAGTTCACCAAATACCATATAATTTTTAACAAGAGTACCAAAATACCACCAATTTTGAAAGGCTATTGCATTAGAGTGTGTTAGAGATTATTAATTATAATAAAATTTTATATCCCCAATCTTCATAACTAAAAAAGATTATTAATGTCTTTTAACAAATTTTTTCAGCCGATTTTTTCCTTTTTTTTATGGAAGCAGCGAATTGTTATAGTTATTATATTAAGGGTTATGATGCAATTTTAACAGTAAAGTTTATCTTATGGGGTATTGAGCACCATAAAATTTATTTAGGTACAAAAATACATATGAAGTTGTCAAAAAAGGACACCTAGCACCACACTGTTAACGTCTATTACTTTATCATTAGTAAGACTCATGGAGTTTTAAAGTACATTTTTAACAATGAAGTTTATATCAAGGGACAATGGACACTATAAAGTTTTCTTGGGTGCAAAAATATACGCAAATTTTCTAAAAAAGAGAAAAGGTAACAAAATTTATCAATTTCCATAAACGTTTGTTAACCTTATTCTTTTCACAACACCTCACCTAATTAATCCACATACTTGATAAAAATACTTCATAAAAAAAACCCACAAGTGTTTTTAGCATCGAAATTGCTAAAAGAGGGTAAGAGCAACTCTGACAATTATAAACATGTCATAGTTTCAAAACAAATCCTAACATAATTTAACAAAATAAAACATTGAAGTCATATAGTCATGGCAAATAAAATATAATATAACATGCACTTGAGGAGCACCGAAGCCTTCATAGCTTACTCCATCAGTGCCTTTGCTTAATTCCTACTAGATCCTTCACTTGAAAATATTAAGGGGTGAGATTTAACATCTCAGTAACTATTAAAATTCTTACATATACAAGTAAACATGTATGATTAACAAAAATTTGATGATATATAAAAATATTTATGTGTGAATATCACATATTTTTACATTCAAATTGATTTCATTCTCAATTATGTAACAATATATCAGTCCCAATTTATAATGTATCAAAAATAATGCAATATGTGTTACATCTTACTTCTAGTATGACTTAAAGTTCAATTAGAACTATTTTAAATCACATTGGATAGTCTTAAGCTCAAGAATCACATTGAGGACGTTACTTTTCAGATTTTCATTGTTCATGTGGTAAATTCCAAATTTCTGGTCCAATTTCAAAAAATCATAACTTAATCTAGAAAAATCGAAATGGAGTGGTTCAAAATTCTTTGGAAAGATATTTGAATTATCTTTCAAGAAAAACTAATCTTGTGAACCAATTTCATTTGAGAAAGTGTCAAGTTTTTATGGAAGCCACCACTGCTATTTTGGTAAAAATCCTTTTTTCAGATTTTGAACCTTAACTTTAAAAATTCACCAAAAATCATACAGTTGCCCATTTTTAACGTGCTACATATCAAATTGAAGCTCAAGATATGATATTTGAGCATCCCAAATTTTGTGGTAAAGCTCATTCAGGAGCTTAATCAAATGCTACTCCAAGCCAACAGCTTCCTTAGGGTTACAGCATCACAACAATCATACTTATACATAACCAAAATATAATTGTTACCCATGATTCACCACCATATTTACTCTTGAATTTGCAGCTTCTCTTTGGATGATTTATGCCCTAAAATGTTGGATTATTTTAGGAGGATTAGGTTTCAATGAAATTCTAGTAGCAAGAATAATTAACCATAACATCAACATGTATCAATTACAAGCATTCCAACCTTTTGCTATTAATAGGAAAGTACTTTACCTCATACATGTAGCACTCTAATATGCAATAGCCAAGGCACTTAAAGTGAGGAGTATAGCTACAATCATTATCATCATTTAGCTCAACCATAAAATAGCACATGAAATTGTATAACAATCAATGCAACAATTAACATTAAAGTTAATTAAATCTTACTACCTTGATCTAAAAGCTTTTTGATTCTTTAATCCTCTTCCTCTCCTCCACAAATATCAAACCCTAATGTCATAATCCATAAAAGGGGCAGCAAGATTACTAACCAAACCATATAACAATCAATGACAAAATTGAAGTAACTTCTTAGCCCTTAAAGCTTTAATCTTTGTTCTTTAATTTTTGAGCTTTGATTCCTTAAACCCTAAAAATTCTTTCTTGGTTCATTCCTACATAATTTTTCATTTAGATTCCAAATATGTACTTGGATTTAAGTTTTTTTTTTAAAAAAATCTTCCTCCAGATTAGGGTTGGCTGAACACTTAGGTTTAGGTTCTAAAAATTTCAACTTTGATTCTAATGCTTCCAATGAAACGTCCTGCCATTAACCCCTCAGAGCACGCATTCGTAAGCGTTATGGT